ATCTATCTATCTATCTATCTATCTATCTATCTATCTATCTATCTATCATCTATCTATTTATCTAGATGTCTGTCTGTCTGTCTGTCTGTCTGTCTAGTGATTGTGAGACAGGGTCTTACTGTGTAGTTCTGGCTGTTCAGGAACATGCTCTGTAGACCAGGCTGGCTTCCAGCTCACAGAGATCTGCTGCCTCTGCCTCCTGAATGCTGGGATTAAAGACATGCTCCACCAGGCCTGGCGAGGAGGCATCCTTATCTGTATAGAGTTTGAGACCAGCTTGGGAGACATGAGACCTTGTCTCAAAAAGGAAAGTATAGGGAACCCCACTTGCTGCTGTCAGGGCTCTTGTCCTGGGGTGCTCTGGGAGCCAGTGTGAGACCCCCACCTCAGAGCTAATGGGGTGAAAGGGGAAAGAGTGGGGAGCATTTCTATAGAGCAGCTCCCGCCGTTCTTGGCTGAGAACTGCTTGTGAGTGACATGAACCCCTGACTCATTCCGTATCTGGTCAGAGTGGGCTTTGCTTAAGCAAGGTCTCCAGTGGGAGAGCAGGTGCCCGCAGCTGGAAGTGGCTCAGCCAGCACCAAAGCCAACTTCTCAGTCCCTCCTCGGGCTCCTCCTCTCCTTGTCAGCTGGGTTCTGGTCATCTGAGGGTCGCTTGTATGCAGGAGTGACGTCACCTTTCCTTGGGGCCCTGTCACCTTCTCTATCTGAAGTCCCTGCTTCACTGACCATCCTCCCCAGCCATTCCCACAGCCAGGCTCCTGCTCCACGGAAAACGAAAGGTGCCAAGTTCCCCACCCCGATCCTGGCTGATACCCAAGTGCCTTCTCTCCTCTCATAGAAGTGTCTAGATGCCACTTGGCTCCCCAGAACTCTACAAAGGCGACCTGGCTTCTTGTTTCTCGAGGACGTGTCTGTTTCATGGTGTTAGATCCTTGTGGGGACTGGATGAGCTTCGCAGGGCTGCCACAGCAAACCACCACAGCCCAGGTAGCTGTAAAAGAGGCATTCATTTCTCCACAGTGTGAGGCTGAAGTCTGAACTCAAGGGGTCAGCACTGGCTACTCCTGAGGCCTCTCCTCCTGGCATGGATGGCCTCTGCCCCGAGCTCTCGTGTGGTCAGCTCTCTGTGCGTGTTCTTATAAACACGCTGGGTATGATGGGCCAGGGTAACCTTCTGCCACTGTGTTGACCTCTGTAAGGTCACTGTCTCCAGACAGTGTGTTGTGTGGTGCAGGGATGAGAGTTTCACCTTACAGTTTTGATGACACAATTCAGCCTGTAGCAGGGACAGTCTTTGACGCCACTGTGATTGTACTTCAGCTGTACTCACAGGCCTTTTCGTAACATGGTAGGGAAGCCCCGTTTTATAAGGAGGTCACCTGCCATGATGTCATGGAGTTGGGGAAAGTAAGTACCATAAATGCACCTACTCTACTGCCTCATCCATGTTCTGAAGGGTGGATCTCATCCTGGCCAAGAAAATTACTGAGAAGCTGGAATTAAACCTGGGCAGAGAAGAGTAGGTGGGATGGCTGTCAGGTACCGGGGCTGGTTGTTACCCAGCAGGGTCAGAGGGAAGGAGGCTGTCACACAGGGTCAGAGGGAAGGAGGCTGTCACCCAGCAGGGTCAGAGGGAGGCTGTCACCCAGCAGGGTCAGCGGGAAGCTGTCACCCAGCAGGGTCAGAGGGAAGGCTATCACCCAGCAGGGTCAGAGGGAGGCTGTCACCCAGCAGGGTCAGAGGGAGGCTGTCACCCAGCAGGGTCAGTGGGAGGCTGTCACCCAGCAGGGTCAGAGGGAGGCTGTCACCCAGCAGGGTCAGAGGGAGGCTGTTGCACAGGAAGGTCAGACGGACGACTGTCATGTGGCAAGATTACATTTTGAGATTACATCAAGAGATATGCATCTCTGTAGATATTTGTAAAGGCATTGGGGCCTCAAGTATATTAGATTTCTGCTTCCCAACCTCTTATACATAATGTTTTCCCATGTTAAAATAAAAAAAAAAACAGAATAAAACAACTGATGTTTCATTCTGGTTAGAAAACTTAAGCCTCTTCTTCGTTAGTACTTGCTAGGACTGAGAAAAGGATGAATTCCCACCAGCTTACCAGTTAGATAAGAATTCATGTGTGCAGAGTCCCATCCGCCTGCCACTGTTCCCTCGCAGGAATGGGAGAGTCTTCGCAACTCTGTTAGTGACTGTGGTTATTCTACAAAGGAGGAAACTGAGGCACGGGCTGATGTAGCTGCATTTTTCTTTGGGCCACCAGCTCACAAATAATGACAAGGAGACTTACTATTCATTGTGAAGCTCTGCCTTACCTTAGTCTTGTCCCCACCAGCTCTTGTAACTTAAATTCACCTGCTTCTATTAATCTACCTTCTACCACGTGACTTTTCCCTTTTTTTTTATTCTGTATGCCCGACTCCCTCCCTGACTGGTTGGCATCTCTCTGGTGTAATTCACATGACTAGATCACTCCTCCTCTTCCCCCGTCTCTCTGGAAATCCTGCCTATCTGTCCTGCCCAGCTATTGACTGTCCAGCTCCATATGAACCAATCACAGTGACGCATCTCCACACAGTGTAGACAGACTCTGCAACAGGCTGCTTAGTTGAGCACAGTGAGGGTTGTTTTGCTTTTATTTGATTTTATTTTATGTGCATTGGTGTTTTGCCTGCATGTATGTCTGTGTGAGGGTGTCAGATCCCCTGGAACTGTAGTTACAGGCAGTTGTGAGCTGCCATGTGGGTGCTGAAAATTTAACCCGGGTCCTCTGGAAGAGCACTTGGTGCTCTTAACCACTGAGTGATCTCTCCATCCCTGAGCACAATGAGTTTGAGTGCGCATGTGTCCATAGGTCCGTTTTTACAGATAGGATTATATTATCTCAGTTCTGAGTCTCTCATTTTCTCTTGTGTCCTTGCAATTGTGTGCATTTTCTGCAGTGTGACATATCAGTCTCTCAGCGTCTGCATCATCCTCCACAGTTTTCTTACCCTTGCCCCTCGAGCACAGGAGCCCCCCCTCAGAAGTTCTTGAACTTGAAACAAGATTACAGGGGATCTTTTTGCACATCGGTCTGTTTATATCATGCATATTCCCACAGACCCCATCCCTAGAAGTGAAGTGTGTGGCTTCCATGAGCCTGCTTTCTAGAAAGTTCCCTGAGTCATCCTCCATCGGCCCTTTGACAGGCCTTCACCACAGATCAGCTGGCATAGCTCGCCAAAAGTCACATGACACAAAGTCTGACTTTTTAACCGTTTCCAGTGGATTTTAGAACAGCCACAGTGTATCTGTCACCTTTATGTCACCCTAGAACACCGCCACCCTCTCCAGAAGCGCCTGCTCTGTGGCCTCTACAGCCCACAGTCACCCATGGGTTCTGGCCCTGTGGACTTGCCTGTCCTGGGTGTCTCGCATAAGCAGAACCATGTGGCATTCATTTCTTTCTGAGACCTTGCTGGGTGCCCCTACCTTTGAATCCACGAGTTGAACATTTGCTCATTTTGTCCATTTATGTTTATTCTTTGATGGTGTTTTAGTTAGGGTTTTCTGTTGCTGTGAAGAGACACCATGACCTGGGCAACTGTTCTAGTAAGTGGGGGCTCACTTACAGTTCAGAGGTTCAGTCCAGTATCGTCATGGCAGCGTGCAGGCAGACATGGTGCTGGAGTTGAGAATCGTTACATCTTGGTCCAAAGGCAACAGAAAAGGAACTGAGACACTGGGCGTGGTTTGAGCCTAACCAAGACCTCAAAGCCCCGCCCCCAGTGACACACTTCCTCCAATAAAGTCACACCTACCACAACAAAGGCACACCTTCTAATAGTGCCACTCCCTATGAGCTTTTGGGGGGTCAATTACATTCAAACTACCACAGGCAGTCTCTATATGTCCTTTGATCACACTGCTTTTAGTCTAAGGTGTTTTTATTAACAACCGTGAAGTCTCTCTGTATCCCTGAGGGGTGCTTGTGTGTGTGTACATCCACGTGTCTGTCTGTGTTTGTCTGTTTGTTTGAGACTGGGTCTCACTGTAGTTAGTTTGGAGTTCACTATGTAGTCCAGGCTAGCCTCAGACCTAAGACGATCCTCCAACTTCATCTTCCACATCTGTAATTACAGGTGAGGCACTATACCTGCCTGGCTAAAACAGAGCCAGTTTATCCTAAATATTGTAAGAACCAAATCATAGACATTTCAGAGATTGTATTGCCTTTGATATGCAAGACTGATAATATCTTGACAATCAAGACAGCATTTTCCCAATGCATCGAAATGCATTGAAGTAGCTGTCCAGCGGCTGACACAGATTCATCCTGAACAGCAGAGAGCCTGGGGAGTGCTGGGTAGACGGGGTGTCTGCAGGTAGAGCTACGTGAGGAATGAGTTTGTGTTAGATACGCACTGTGTTGTGCTGTGTGGCCCTTTAGTAGTTAGTAGCAGATAGCCCCCCCCCCCCCATCACAGCCTGAGCCCCTCTGACTTTCTCCCCTTGTCTCTGTCCAGGTGGTTTCCAAGTCAGGACCCCGGGCCAGCCCTGCTGTGAGAAGCAGGAATGTTCTAGAGCTGGGATGAAGTAGCCGCCTTGCCTTTGCTCAGCTTTCTCCCCTCCACTGCCCACACACAACTTCTGGCACTTTCCTTCCCTTCCGGACTTTCCTCCATCTGCCCACTCGAGGGCTGCAAGGGGGAGTCACGGTTTATGGGCGCACAGAGACTTTGGGGGAACTGTTCAGCTGCCCAGCCTTTGCACCCATGCATAGAAGGTGGGCTCATGGGCCCAATTTTCAGGAGCTATGTCACTAAGCAGGGGGCTTTCTTACATGAGCGACACAGGAAATTAACAGCCCGCGGAAAACGGGTAATTGGGAAGAAAACGTAACCGGCACCGGAGTAGGGAGCAGGTTCCCGGGGAACACACGCGTCGGGACAGATGGCAAATGTCAGCACCAATCTGACACTCGGTTAAATGTGCTGAAATTAGCGTTCTGTTTAAACAGCGTAGTCTCTCTGCCCGCTAAAGGTTTCAGGGATTAAAACATAATTAGGGCATTTTGGGTACTAAAAAGCTAATCGGATTTTACCACTCTGCAGGTACTGGTGATGTCTGGGGGGGGGGGGGTTTCTCCCATGAAAGCAGTGACTGTTAAATCAGGGCTCTTAACAAGAGGGGAGGGGCTGCCCTAGGGACCCTGCAAAGTTATAGGTGACATTCCTTTGTGCAGGCATGTGTGTGAGCGTGTGTGTCTGTGTTTTTGTGTGTATATGCATGTATGTGTGCTTGTGTGTGTGTGTGTGTGTGTGTATGTGTGTGTGTGTGCACGCCATGTTTGTGTGGCGAAAGTCCACCCACTCCATCAAGTTTTCAAAGTCCTTTGCCCTAGAAGGCTCTGAGTCGGGGGATAGGACAGGACCTTCAGAAGCCCCCAGGATTCACGTCACCTTGTTCTTGCAGTGCTTGTGAAGGGCCAGGTCACCACCAAATACTACCGGCTGCTGTCCAAGCTGGGCGGCTGGGTGTGGGTGCAGAGCTACGCCACCGTGGTTCACAACAGCCGCTCCTCCCGGCCCCACTGCATCGTGAGTGTCAATTATGTCCTCACGTAAGTCAGCCATATTTGTTTCTCTCCTTGCTCTCTTCCTCTGTCCCTCGTCACACCACTCCGAAGGTGTCACCTCCCGCTCCTCTTGCCTTTGTGTCCTTTTTGTCTTGCTGGAACAACCCAGTCGCTTGGGCGGTCCCAACCATTATAGCGGGGAGTGGTGGCAATGATGAGAGAGTCCTCTCAGGATACAAAGCCCAAGACAGGGGCCCAGGAGGGGACAGTGTTCGTGTCCTGTGTCAGGCATGCGCATTGTGCTTCTGCCCTGCCGTTAGGAGCAGACACTCCCCACTTCTCTCTTTCCAAACACTCTGTTCCCAATGATGGTGGGTGTTTGGTCCCCGAAAGACCCAACTTTAATTGAAAAAAAATTTTTTTGAGATAGAGTCTTGTCATTAGTCCAGGCTAGCCTCAATCTCATGATTCTCCTCCCGCCCAGCCTCCCAAGTACTGGGGTTATAGGCATGGGCCACCAAGTGATGCAGATGAGTATAGAGCCAGTAGAAGTCACAGGCACACCTTCCCGGGACACACACCCTGCCCCCGTCTCTCTCTGTACATCCCAGCCTCAGTCAAGGACGGGTCCTCTGTCCTAACCACTGAGGATTCGGACTCTAGGGTCTTTCGCAGATGATCACCAAGTTACTTCCTGGTTTAGAAGGATGAGCTGGCAAAGCTCTGCAGGACAGAATGCCCCTGCCCCTCAGTACGCCAGCCAGGTACAGCAGGCAGCATTGTGCAGCGACTCTCCCTCTGGGAGAGTGCCTTTGCCAAGCTGGTTCTGCAGGCTGGACGGGAGTCCATACAAAAGTGAGTGATGTTAGGAGCCGGCTCCTGACAGGCTCACCCCTCCAGGCTTCTGGAACACTCAACAGAGAACAGCTGGGTCCCAGATACACAGACCCATAAGGGTCGTCGGGGTCACTGGGGTTGCTGCCCTTCACCTACCCCTTGCCACAGTCAGAGTCCTTGGGAAAGCTTGGGAAAGGAATCTGGAATGAATGGGTTTGGAGAAAGACTTATCACTTTCTACCATTCTTGCCATTCTAACCTTGCTCAGCACACTCTGGGCCAGCACACGGGAGCTACTGGTGGCTTTGGTCAGGACAATGTGTCCTTCTGTCCAGCCTCAGAGAAGAGACGCACTGGGCCTTGAGGATGAGCTTGCCTAGGGGACCTGCTCTCCGTGACTTGCCCTCTCTTGCTTTCCAGGGATATTGAATACAAGGAACTCCAGCTGTCTCTGGACCAGGCATCCACGTCTAAGTCTCAGGACTCCTGGAGAACCGCCTTGTCTACCTCACAAGAAACTAGGAAATCAGCTAAGCCCAAACATACGAAGATGAAGACGAAGCTGAGAACGAACCCTTACCCCCCACAGGTAACAAGCACACGGGGTAATATGGCAGCTATCTGGGGACCCAGGACTCTTGGACGTGAACTATGAACCTCTGTTCAGGGGTGTCCTTGCAGAGCAAGAAGAGGTCCTGAGGGATGTTTTGACCACATGGTAGTGACACTTTCAGATAGCAAAACCCCTAGGTAAATTGTCAAGAATGAGAAAAAGCAAAACAAACAAACAAACAAACAAACAACCCCCCCCCAGCTAACCAGGAAAGCACGTGGGCTGTAGAACCTTTATGTTCTGTTTTGGAGGTGGGGTGGTCTCACTATGTTGACCTGGCTGGATTTTAACTCCTGCCTCAGGTGATCCTCTGTTCCATTCCCCAATAGCTAGGATAGGTGTGTGCTACCTCATTTGGCTTGAGAATGAACATCTGCCCTCTTAAATCGTCACTGATGAGCTCCGGGAAGTGGCAAGTATCCACAGGCATCTGGTGTGTGGCCATGTTGGAGCATAGGATCTTCACACTCAGAGACCTCACAGTAACACTGGGGTCAGGCCAGCCCTATCATGGGGCTGGGCCCCCAAGCTCCGGTCTTGTGGGACTAGAAGGTAGCTTGCCCGCGGCCTCCCTGACAGCCTCTCATCTGTCTTCTTTGCCACCAGCAATACAGCTCGTTCCAAATGGACAAACTGGAGTGCAGCCAGGCGGGAAACTGGAGAACTAGTCCCCCCACAAATGCTCCGGCTCCCCCAGAACAGCAGCTCCATTCAGAAGGCAGCGACCTTTTATACGGGCCACCCTACAGCCTCCCCTTCTCCTACCATTATGGACACTTCCCTTTGGACTCTCATGTCTTCAGCAGCAAGAAACCAGCCTTGCCCGCCAAGTTCGGGCAGCCCCAAGGATCCCCGTGTGAGGTGGCACGCTTTTTCCTGAGCACGCTGCCAGCCAGCAGCGAATGCCAATGGCACCATGCCAACCCCCTAGTGCCCAGCAGCCCATCGCCAGCTAAAAACCTTTCTGAGCCTCCTGTAAATGCTGCCCGGCATGGACTTGTGCCAAACTATGAAGGTGGGTCCCATTTGCATGAGGGGGACGGGAGGGGGGCAGCATCGGCAGCGGTGGGTGGCAGATGGAAAAAGAATTCTCATGCTTTGGGCAAACTTTGGCTTTTTCTGTGTCTAAGTAGGGATTACCTTGCTTCCTATTGCCAATCATGGTTTCACAGGAGTGAGAAATGACTGGGTTTCGGATCACGTGTCCCAAGAACACCAGATAGAGAGCAATATGAAGAGCGAAGGGAAAGGGAGTGCCCAGTGTTCATGCTCCCACAGGGAGACAAAATGATTTTCCGAGCCAGCTCCCATGTTTGTCAACGCTCCAGCTCGGCCCCTGAGACGCTTTGCATTGTATCTCAGCATTAATGGTGGAAACACGGGTTCTCTTCCTAGACCAGTTTTCAAATTACAGAAAACAAAAGTAGAAATTCCTGGTCTTGGGGGCACAAGCCATGAACACAGAAAAATTAACAAGGACTCTTCAAGCCTCCGTCTTTCTCTCTGTAAAATGGGACCACAGTCTACGTAGTGAGCCTACTTAGCACACTCCAGGTGCCTGACAGGACATGGCTAGTCTGATCCCTCGCTTGGAATGATTGGATCCCCAATACTCATCAGTGCAAGGGTCCCCCACAGTCAAGGAAAGAAAAAGTAAAGGGCCTTGTAAACATCCATGTGAGACAGACTTATTATTAAAGAATAATCTTTGTATCCAGGACTGGCTAATGATACAACAATGGTTGGGGCCATCTACTTGATTAGATGATTAGAAGGGGGGAGGGAGACCAAAGGCGCTAATTTGATGCAATTTGTGACCAACTTCCCAGTCTTTTGGTATTAAAAGAAAACAAAGACCTCATGGGAAAGCCCAGGGGAGTTACTTGAATGGACATGGTTACAACTTTTAATTATGGACCCACTAAACGGCACAGAGCCGTTAACACCCCGTCCCACCCCACCCTACCCGCCTGGAGGAATCAGCAAACCTGGCAGACTGGGCACTGTGAAGAGGACCCTGCTTAGCTTCTACTGCCGCCCAGAAAGGTGTCCACTAGCTCCGTGTGGCTTTGGAGCATCTTTGAAGATTGATACCACACCGGAGTGTTTGGCCCTGTTGCATTAAGCATATTACTGAGAATGAATCCGACCTGTTTCTCTTAAAGCTCCCAGCACGTTTCCAACAGCGTCTCCCGATTGCACTGCGCTAGCCTGGCGTGTACAAGGGGTGGCACTGGCAGAGAAGGAGGATTCTGTGCGTGATGGGGGTTCGGGGAGGGGCTAGTGTGACTCTGTATATGACGGAGGAGAAACCTGTGGCTCTGCACGGTTGAGGGCATGTGTGGCTCCGTGCATAGGCGAGGAGGACCCCACGAGGCCTTGTGCATGATTGAGGGCGCCTGCGACTTCCTCCCGGAGTGCAATTCTCTAACCTGTCGCTTGTCCCCCGCAGCGCCCGCCGCCGCCGCTCGCAGGTTCGGCGAGGACCCAGCGCCCCCGAGCTTCCCGAGCTGCGGCCACTACCGCGAGGAGCCGGCTCTGGGTCCCGCCAAGGCGGCGCGCCAGGTGTCCCGGGA